TTGCTGTTACTTCATGTGTATGTTTGCATGTGTGTGACGTATATGTAAAGCATGTGTGGGAGTCAAAATGCTGTGACTACAGCACAGCGCACGTTCTTAGCTTTGTCTTTGTTTAGTTGTTTTTTATTTTTCATTTTTTTTAATTTTTTTCTTAATAGAATTTTACTTGCTTTTATATCCTGGCATTAAAAAATCAAAAAAAAAAAAAAACAAAAAAAATACAAAGTAAATATTATCACCCCCAACAAAAACATTGAGTATACCATTAGCATTTTATGTGTGTGCATGTTTGTTTGCTCTGCTCTGCTCTGCTCTTTTGTAGTATACTGCGTACTGTGCTGTGCTGTGCTGCGCTGCGTTGCGCTGCTATGCCTGTTTCTGCGTTACTCTGCGTTGCTCCGCTATTTTGCCTTACTTTGGTTAAGTTTGTGGACATGAACATGTCTAAATTATTCTGCACGTACTCGTTGGCAGCTACGGACGTACATTTTCACCGTGTTTGTTGCTTCAAGTCTTTGTTATTGTTTTTGTTATTCATCTAATACGAGCAGTGTGGTGTGTACAATTTGTGTATTCTTTTTGCGCACCGTGAACGAAACTCAGCGTATTCACTGCGAGCATTTGTATTTGTCCGTGTGCAGAGAACTAATTTTCAACAGTTCGATTCTATACCGTTAATGTACGTGGCGTTGTACTTGATTTCGTCACAGACGTGCCGAATACTTCGTATTGATGTGATTACAAAATGAAATCAAAAAATTGCTAACTTTAATAACAGAACGTCGTAATGCAAGGCGAATCTTTGCATGAAACGTAAAAACGTAACGTAACGGCGCGTTCAAAGTGGACGTACACGAGTGTCGCGTACTAACCGAAGGATTCAATTGAAATCGCTAATTTACGTTGTGTCTTCCAAACAACATAGCAGGACACTTGCGTTTTAAATTCACCATTCACCATTCTACGTTTATCGATTTCACACACATATATTTTTTTGGTGTTTTAAAATAGTTTAAAAATTGCTTCACGCATGCACATTTCAAGTGTAAGATATTTTAGACGAAGATACATAAACTGAATAATCCACACGTACGCATAATTTGCTGGCGCTCCCCAACTATTGTGAATGTGTGTGAAGCGTGTGTTGTGTGCCAAATGCATCAAAGGATTCAATGACCTTTCAATAAACAAAAGCTTTGCGAAAAAGTTGAAATAAGTTTAAGTGCTCAACTAAAAATTCCATTAAAAAAAAATTCTAAGTGTCAAAATAAATATAAAACGTTGTAACAAAATGTGCCAAAATATTTTACGAAAATAAAAAAAATTCATTTATTAATTAATTACTTACAAATTAATTAAATTCTTTATAACGTTAAACATCGAACCTATTAGAAATTGAATTTGCAATCAACATGTTACCTTATCAAGCTGTTGCAATGGACTACGCTGGTTATCAGCGTCAACCTACACCTGGTCATCCAGGCAGCCATATGACTTCTATGGGCTCATTAGGAATGCCTGGTGTAGGTGCTGGTCCATTTACACATTCTTGGTTGGTGCCTACACAAGATTTGTGCGCTGTGCCATATAATAAAATGTCAAATCAGCATCAACCTGGTATGGGAATGCATGGACAACAACAACCTCTCGAACCTGGGTTAGTTAACACATTTTCCACAAGTTCTTTTTTCATTAAAACATATTTAAACATAAACAAAAAACAGAATTTTTATAATTTATTGATATCATATAGAGTGCGACCCTATGCTCCTCCTAGGAGTTAAAAGTATATAGTAATTATATATATAGTGTAAAATGATTTAAACATTCTTATGATTGAGAAAATTTAGAATTATTTTCAAAACAAATAAAAATGTTTTACTAAAACAATAAAGTGGTACATTAAAAATGTCACCCAACATACAAATTCCTTCAAAGAAACAGTTAACGGTAGTTCAGGGAGAATATATCAGTTCAAACTTAGAGTGCTTAAGCCACTCATTGACATATATTTTTCATAATATAGCATAACTACTAGAAATAAACAAAAAGTTATACTTTATATATAAATTAAATATAATATAAAAAATAAAATTCTCAACATCATTTTGTGAAGTAATAAAGTCATGTATTAAAAACGTCAAACCGCAATTGAATTGCCCTCATAAATTGAATTCAAACCAATTATGAATTAAAATACCTTAAAATTTGGTACTGAATTAAACTCATATATGTATGTACATAATAATAAATAAAGACTTAATTTATTTTAAAAATTTAACCACCTATAAAATGTATGCCATAAACAATATTATGATGACGCTTCCGACTAGTCTTTAGACCAACTAACACCAAAACTGTTTGTAATGTCAGTGTGGTGTGTAAGGAACTGTTTGTTCCTTATAATACTCTTACTACGTATTCGAAAAAAAAAAATTACCGAACATAAACTGCACTACTAAATTCAATTCTGGATCAATTATGAAGGCATCAACTTAATTCATATATATAAGCAAATGTTAAATGATAGCTAACAGCTCTAAAAACAGAGAAACAGTCGAATACAACATCGAGCACTTGCAATGAACAAGTCCCATTGGATTAATAATTTCTTTGTCAGGATCCTTCCTTACACAATTTCATAGATGCGGGAGATATTAAAGTTCTACCTACAGAGTCCATATGAAATCCATAAAATAATATTCTTATAAAGTTTGATAAATCCTAATTATTTTTATTATTTTTCATTTATTTAAAAACAAAAATTATTAAATTAAATTACATTTAAAAATTAATCTTGTCTGATTACTAAAGAAAAAACTCTTCAAATTACCGTTATTTGTGATATCCCGAATCATTTTTGTACTAAGAAACTATCTAAGAAAAGAAGATACTATCCACCATTATCTTATGTGTGCGATGGTTTAATTGAAATAAATCACTTTCGTCACTCAATAATTCAATAGCTTCTCTGTTTGACCTGTGATATTTTTAAAGAAAAAAAACTATTATTGTTTTTTTTCCTAAAATCACTTTTACTTTTTAGGGACACACAAATGAAAATATAAAAAATTGTTTACATCATGCTGAGTCTCCTCTCGAAATATATATTACCAATAACGGTATATGAACGCTAACAAAATTTATGTAACAAATAAAACAAACTAGAAGAAGATAAATAAAAAAATATTTTTTTATATTAAAAGCAGTGTTCCAACTACAGCAATGTATCTAAGAAATGTATCTTTTGATCCAAGTAAACTATAAACATTGCACTGGAAATTTTCTTTATTACAATTATTGCAATACTTTATAAAAAAATAACCATTAACTATATTTCCATATATATAAGAATATAAAATAAAACTTATATAATAATTTTCTTTTAATAACAAAGTCATTAGATTAGATAAGGAACTTTTAGAAACAAATTGTTATATTAAACTTCATTTGTAATAAGGACATTTAAAAAGGAGTATGTAAACGTCCTTCGAAATTGTATTTGGAATTGAAATTGTATATAGAAAAGATACTGTTTAATAGATTTGAAGTGAAATTATGTAATATATATATATATATATATATATATATATATATATATATTATTACATATATCTTAAATATTTATAGATATATATAAGTTCCTTTATATTAATAAATTAGCCTATGTTAAACTAAAGCCTATGTTTGTAATAATATAATAATAACAAAAATATTCACTTACCTTTAAACAGTAACATTGTTAAAATCTGTAATAATAAATGAACAACATTAAAAATTAATTATTAATAATAGAAAGTTGGATCAATTGCTTTAAAAAGAAAGTTATTTAAATAAGTATTTAAGTACTAAAAATAAAAAACAAAAATACCTTAAATAGAAACACACATAAAACATAAAAAACGAATAAAGTATAATAATAATAATAATAAATATTAATATAAATATAATAAATAGTAGTATAATAATAATAAATAGTAATATGTACAATAAAAAAATAGTGATATAATAATAATTAATAGTAATATAATAATAATAAATAATCATGTAATAATAATAAATAGTAATATAATAATAATAAATAGTCATATAATAATAAATAGTAATATAATAATAATAAATAGTGATATGTATGATAATAAATAGTAATATAATAATAATAAATAGTCATATAATAATAATAAATAGTAATATAATAACAATAAATAGTAATATAATAATAATAAATAGTATTATAATAAAAATACAGTAATATAATAATAATAAGTAATAATATAATAATAATAAATTGTCATATAATAATAATAAATAGTAATATAATAACAATAAATAGTAATATAATAATAATAAATAGTACAGAATGAAAAAAAATGTTAAACCTGAAAATTTAAATAAAAAAATTTTATTAATATATAAATTTATAGTGTAATTTAAAAAAATAAAGAATTTGATGATGGATTTTGGTGGATATAAAAATTTTTAAATAATTTATATATAAATAAAAAAAACTTTATTAACTCCATTGTAATACTAACGTAAGTTTCTCACGACTGAATTCCTCTTATTTTTTGATCCAAACTAGTCTCAAGAATTCACTCATTTTGCTTGCATATATGTACGCAAAATAATTATTTTATCATGATATAGACAGTTATGCCAGAAGTGAGTATTTTACTTAATAGAAACTATTTTATTTGATAGAGAGGTCTCGAAAAGTAATGAATTACAACAACAAACATTTTTTATATTAATTTAATTAAATAGAGACTAGTACTTGCAGTCTCAAAAAATTATTTACGAATAATTAAATATAAGAAATAATTCCAAGACCACTGATTATGGATATTTAGCAATACTTAAAATAGCTGTATGATTAGCCAAAATCGTATTAATTTCGCTATTAAATATTATCTTTCTCTTTTCTATGAAAGAAAAGTTTGAAAATTTTTTGAATAAAATTTTCTAGTAATTATAAAAATGTCTTCAAAGTTCAAAAATCTAAATCAAAATGAAATAAAGTATAGTTATTGTGAAAAGTATTAAGTAAATTCTCACTACCATCGAACATTAACCGATAATTTCAGTAAAGAACTTTTTTTTTAGATTATCAATTAAAATCGTATCTTAAGTCCTTTTAGAAACCTAAGCTGCTTTTACACTTCATTGCAATTTATTTGCGAATATCCTTTTCTCAGTGTACTACCTTAACTCCGCTTATCTCGATTTTAAATCAAAATTTTAGTAAATAAAAATATGTCTCAATGATTTTAATGTCTTGATCCACTTTAAAATCTTAACATCAACGCAAATATTTTGATTTCCATTAAGTAACATGAAAAGTTCATTGCTCCATATACCTAAAAGGATTAAGCAGGATTACCTTATACCGCAAAGGCAGTAAATATTATCAGTTTGTTTGTATGTTTTGTACTCTTCTATGTTATTACGCAAATAATTACACCCCAGGTATTCTCGAAGTAATATACTGGGTACAAATGGCTTCTAATACTCGAATGAATGCAATGTCACAGTGTGACTTTATATTCTCATTCCTCTTTTGGAATTCAAAAGATGTAAGAAATGTGCAAAGTTTTTTTTGCCATTTAATTTTTCTTTATTTTCGGGGTTACAAATGAACATTTGCAATTTAATACTAATTATGAGTTATAGATAATTTTATTAGCAATCTGTTACTAGTCAAAAGGAATGTGAGGTACAATAGATACGCTTAAATAGGAAAACTTCAGGAATTTTTAATTTTATGTAATGATTATAAAAGTTAGTCTCCATATTTTTTAGAAATTAAATAATATATTTTTAATAGATTTTAAGTTTTTGATATCTTTTAAATGTGATATATATATATCTTTAAATATCTTTTATTTTAATAAATATCTTATAGAATATGAATAATCAAGTTAGTCTTACAATATCGAGGACTTTTAAAACCCTTCTTGTGAAAACACTCATGCAGCAGTTAAAGCCTATTTTTACGGGTACTGAGACGTGGGCATATAAATATTATTTTGAAACAAATTTAAACTTAACCCTTTGAAATTAAATCCAAGCACAAAGAACTATACGGAGTTTTAATATACTTTATTGAGTATAAATATTATATTAATAATATTAATATAGATGTTCAATGATTTAGCTTTGGATCTCGAATCTATAACTTTAAAAAGTTTTAATAAAAATTCCAATTTATATTATTTATACGATTTTTACTATTATTTTTCACTACTTCAACACTGTTATGTTATTTAAAAATTGTTACTACTTATTTTCTTACAAAATCATTTGTCAATACAAAAGTCTATTAAATTATAACAATGTGTATGTTATAAAAGTAACACCCGTGAACCCTAATACAGCCCCTTTTTTAACATTAGCTCGAACAGTTTTTTATGAAGAATATTTGATAAATGATTTGCACTTTTTTTGCAAATATTTTTTCATTTCCGTAAGGCAAATTCAACTCACTTTGCAGATAATTCGCTTGATTTTAAAGCTTGTCAAACATGATTGTTCCTTTTTTTATTTGAGATATCAACACCTCTCCCATATTTGTTACCTTTAGTGTTATATATTTAATTTTACCGATGACGACATAATGTAAATGTAATTGATTTCTGTCGCTAGTAGCTTGAAAATTGA